ACTCTCCAACATTCTATCTAAGGCCATAGTTTTGGTCTGAGATTATTTTTCCTGATTTTCCTATCTTTCTGTGTCAAAGTGCAGCTATACAATAAAATGGTCAGGAAAGTGAGAGTTTAAAAAATCTTACCAGTTTTATGGTGAATATTGGTTGCATAGCAATTCCTGATGGCCTGATTTTTTTCGTTGTCTTTCCTGATAGCACTCATTCTCAGGAACTTATTTCACAGCTATGGGGTTTTTCTTATTCAATATAAAGGTTGCAAATTCTATGGATAAAACAACCATTAACTTCTGAATGTTAATATTGTCATATACTATTTTAGTACATAAAGTCCAGGTTCATCAAACCGGCTGACTCAGAACATTAGCCGATATCCAATGTTTAAGAGCCTTGTTCCACAATCGATGTTTTCCTGCAATTTTAACATGAATAAAATATTCAGTCAAATAGAAAGAAGCCTGAAACATCTATGCTAACTTTGTTTCTGTTTTCCATTATTTGTCCCCACTTAATATGTTCTATTTTGAGCAGTCAAATGATTGTATGACTTGAAGATTTATTATGTAATTAATTATATGCAATTAATTTGTTTAATTCCAGGAACCCCACATAAATTTATGCTTCTTTATTATTTAATACAGTTGATCAGATGTTGGAAATGAGCACCTGTTATTTCTTAGTCTTCCAGGTTCTTAAATATATTTGTTTGACTTCATGCAAGTGATTAATGCCTCCAATATCAGTGGTGGTGTTCTCATGTGTAAAGTTTAGTATTTGTATATAAACACTGAAGGATTTAGCACACATGCAGTCTCTTTCAACACTTATTATGCTATCATTATGCCAAAGAAAAATTTGTATCAATAAAGAATAGATAGGATTTGCTTAGCCGTTATATAATATCCTGGGATTTCAAAATGCTCTGTACACATACTGCTATAAAATATCTAATCATGCAGCTGATGCCCTTGTAGATTCAGACAATATGATTATTCTCTGACATGCAGTCATATATTTAAGTTTTAGTCATAATGATAGTTATGTTTGGTGACTTGGAATCTAGATTTTATATTAAAACAATAGCAGCAAAAAAAGAAAATTCCAACAACCTTAGAGATGATTAACTGACTTCTAAGAAACACCAACTTTATACAAGTTTAGTCAGCCAAGAAATGAATGCAGCTAATTAGCAGGGCTCTGTCTTTTGCAGTCTTCAGGCTCGAATATATTATTAGGACAAAACCTAAGTTGCAATTTGAGTTCTGCAAGGTGCTGACTTTCTTATAGCTGTAGAGCAATAAGGACTTAGGGTTAGATTTAAAGAAAAGAAAAAGAAGATGTAAGCAGATCTGACTAAAAAATCCAAAACTTGAATCCATGTCCTTTCCTATTCAAAGCCTCAGAAAACTGAACTCCCCAGCCACGTCCCTGATTGCTCTAGTCCTAGGGGCACCTGTGCTTGTGCTTCATAACAGCTCCAGCATTTCCAGGTATAAGCAAATAATTTCCCAGGTTCTTCATATGCCCAGGTGGAATCTAGAAACTGGAGAGCTTATCATTCTCATCTCACAGGAGGCCAAAAAAATAGATAAGGTAAAATGTCATTGCAGCTGGTTTTACTTTTAACGTAGCACTCAAATTTTGTATTGAAGCCTTGTGATTAGGGTATGTAGGCAGTGGCATGCCAGAACAGAATCCCTTCATCTCCCACCATCTATTAGTGTGATAAAATCACCAGCCTGGGTGGATTTATGCCACCCTGCAGTATAAAATGGAGATTTCTGAAGCCAGGAAGAGGGAGTGTGATACAGTGGACTGAGTAGGATGCCCATTTTCAGTGGATAACTTTAAGGACTATGCTCCCTGCACCAAGATCTGGATTTGTATTTTGTATTTAACAGCCAGTAGATGACAGATAACTTGACCGTGAATTAACTAAGAAAAACAAGGCAATAAAAAGATCAGTAATCACTGCACCAATCACTGGGCTATGAAATGCAAGACAAAACTAGGCACCGATAACATCAATTTAGTGTTTGTTTTTCAAAGTATTTGTTTTATTTTAAGTGAATGATACTCAGTTCAGTCTGTATATCATGGTGGAGCCCATCTATAGCCCTGTGTAAGGAACCTGCTCTCTTGAATGTGATGGGTTTGAAAAAGACTATAGCCTGCAGCATTCATCTTGGAAAGCTTCAGGAATGAACAAAACATTGAGGTTTCATCTCTGAGGTGAATGGGGTGACAAATTCTGGGGTTTCATATCCAGTTTGAAGACCAGATATCTGGCACCGTGGTGTTTAACTTTTATATGATAAAGTCATAGAATCATAGAATAGTTAGGTCCTGTATCATAGCTAATCTTTAGGTATATGGTTAGCTTTGGCTTCAATGAGCTGTTGATGTGCATATAGAGTTATTTGTTGATAAAGAAAATACATATGTTTATGTACTTCCTGAACTAGGAAAAGAGCACCTTGGCACTATCCCATCCTATGCGCCCTTTATATAATTTCTTGCATAATCCTGGTTCTAAATTTGTATGTATACACACACAAACATATTAATATTTATATATATGTGAATAGCCCTACTCTGCTGAAATCAACATCCACATTCCCTTCAGCTTCAGTAAAATGATGGTCTGAATCTATGTGCATTTTACTGCATCTTTTTGCATGATTTACAAGCCATGAGCTATATATATTATACAGCTTTTTAATTTACTAGATTGCTTTTCTATTTTAAGGAAGGTAATAAATTTTTCTAGAATAAAATACATTATTTGGTAAAGAGTAGTAGTGGAAAGTAGACTAAATATTCCAATAATAGCCTGACAAATTCAGTCAGAATTATAATTTGATGTGAATTAGTTCAAAGAGAAGCTGAAATATAACTGATGATAACAGTGATTATATATTCTGTGCCTTTATATGAGATTTAAACACACTAACTTCACAAATAAAAAGCACTTCAATAAATGCTCTCTATCTTGAGAAATAGATGGCTAGTGAAACACCTTGAATTTCTTGGGATTTTATGGCAGGACTGATGTAGGATTTTGTGGATGTGGTTAACCTGAAACACGTATGTGTTTGGGTATCAGAGGATGAATTAGGAAGCAGCTCCCAGTTCCATCAGCATCTTATTTCTTCCTTAGAATTTTTTTTTTTTTTAATGATTTCAGGCAAGTTTTCTTATGCCACTTCCTGCATGTCAAAGATGGAAATAGTAAATTTCTTCCCTTTGAAAAATTATTTTGAGACATGCAAGTAAAAAATGCTGTGTGTGAGCTTTGGATTACTATGGTAATTTAAGAGATAATGAACGTCATCCTACAAAATAACTTGGGAACTGTTACATGGAATACTAAATGTTTTTTTACTTCTTGGGTTTGAATTGCTGTTTGGTTTCTAAGCCTAGACTGATGCTTTGTTTGAAACTTCTTTAGAAATCATTTCCACCTGTTTAAGCAGTTTTGACTTTGCTGCAGACATGGCACAATAGTTGCATTATGCTGACTAAGACTGCTTGTCAAATGTAAAACCTAGATTTTAATTTCTTTACATCTTGCTGCTAAAGCTGTACAGCTCTCTATCAGTTAGATGATTTCCTGTCATGAAAATGGCAGTTAACATGTCTGCCAATCAGTTCTGTTCCTACATATTTCCAAGTTTAAGAAATCAGACTCAGTTTCAGGCACTATCTTAAGAGAATGAACTATACAATGAAATAATAAAAAAGCAAATCTTGTTTTGTATGGTTTCCATTTTCACTGCTTCTATAACAATTCACAAGTTCTCTGAATACTGGATATGGTGTTGAACTGAAACACACCTGAGCTATAACACCTAGCATGGTTGTGAACATCAGCAAGAGCAGACTTTTTCCACGAACACATGAAAATGATTTTGAGATTTATAACATTTAAGTGCCGCCACTCCAGTTTACCCCACATCCTGTATACTGCACCTAGTTGCAGAAATATCTCTTCTGTCCCTTTCTCCTTAGGCTGGCCTGTATTACAGGCCATAAATAGATGCGTACGTAGTTCCTGTTGCAGTATTTAGACCAAATTGAAAACCTTGTGTTGGTTCTGCAATCCTGAGATGAATTGCACTCTAAGGTAGATTTTCCGATATTCTCAAGCATTTTATAATTCTGAAGGGAAACATACTGCTAGCACAGTTTTGCCTGTTTTGCAATGATAGCTACATCTTAATCTGACTTAGTTTTAACACATTTGGTAAGTAGATGAAAGGCAAGCTGAATGTTTGGACTTAAATGAAGAAAAAACCAAGAAGTTGTGACATTATTTTACATTAAGAACATTTGCAATTAGCTTTGTTCATACAGATTGAATTGTGAAATCCTTAGTGGGTGTAATAAGCAACCTTTAGTCACATTAAAGCTGAACTGTTCTCAAAAAAAATCAGCCCAATCTCTGCAAAAAATGTTGTTATATTTTAAAAGAGAAGAAATATAAAATACTCAGGGATTTTATACCTGCCATTAAAGGAAACAAAATTATTCATAATCACAGATTTGTTCATTAAAGGGTCCATGACAAGCTAAAGAAGAATATTTAAGCCTGCAGTAGTCAGACTGGCAAGTTTATTTGCTGTTACTGCACTGGATTCATAATATGTACTACAGTATTTTGGTTATTTTTTTTATCCAAAGGTTACTGAAACCTTTTCTGGGACTTATGGGGAGGAAAGAGAGAGATTTAACATCAGCAAATGGAGCTGCAACATCTAGTTGAACACCAGAGAAAGTACATTAAAAAGCTTAAATTATTGCTTAATGGAGAACATTGACAGACCTAATAAAAGACATAGAAGATTCCATTCTGATTATGTTTCAAAAAACGTTGCTATCACTTTATTCTGCAAACTCTTTATTTTATAATGCAGCAAAACTATTCTCTTTGAAAGCAGTGTGGAATTCAATGGTAACATAACTCTTTTAGTCTTTTACTGTTTATTGCTTCCAGGGGTAAGAAGACTGGACATGATATAGATTTTTTGATCACCAATCCTGGACCAAAGGAAGATGATGAACTTCTGCATAAAGTTGTTGACTTATGGAAAAAGCAGGTATGAACTAAATAACATTTGTCCAAAAAGGAAATATTCTAACACCACCAAACTAAGCCTATGTAGTGCTTAAAGAATGTTGACTCCTTTTTACAGAAGACGGCAATATTTTGAAATTGCATAGTGCTCTATTTGATTATTAATGATGATGATCTAGGTGCATCCTCCAGCTGTGAATGCTAAAGTTGAAGGTTATATCAGAAGTACTTTACACACATTCTGTTTTATCTTACTCTAAGAATATGCAGCTAGCCACAGGTAAGAAATCAAGCTAGGTGGATTTTTGAGTGTCACAGAAAACTGTTCTTATACTTTGAAACAAAACTGTATTTGTTTAATTTCTCGTTGTGATGGGAGTAGGTTCTCCCAGAGGGAAACCACTTCAGGGAGCTCCAGCTTTAAGTGTAGTGGATTTGGGTGATGTCATGATGTGAGGTGAGCAAGTCAGAAAACTTATGTACCAAAGCCCTGGTATTCTGGCTTCCTTTCAGCCCACAGACTGCCATTTTTTCTATTTTTTGGAATATTGTAAAAATTGACAGTCTTCCATGATGTCTGGGTTTGGAAGAATGCACACATTTCACAGAGGAACTGTTCATCTAAGAGGGTTTGGGTTTGTTTCTATTCAGCTTTCGTCAGTTTCAAGCAGCTCTAAAGTTGGAGGAGTCTGAATTATAACAGGTGTCTGTACCTCAAATTATTGCTGGGTCAGAAATATAGTATCTTGGGAACAATAAACTTTTGTTTCTTCTTCTTCTACCTATCTGGCCAGCTAAGATATTTTTCAACATTTACTACCTGTATTGTTCAAAGGAATTGAGTACATTTCAACAAGTAAAAGGGCAACACTCTGAGGTGAATCACCAAATGCAAGTCAGCTTTTAGTGCAGCTAGCCTGGAGAGAATGCTTTGAATTCATTCTTGAACTCTGTACTTTAATGTGCAATGGGTTAACATAGGAAAGACATCCAACCAGACAAAAGCTTAGCTGACTGTAGAAAGTTACCTGTTTCAAGTGGTCAGAATCTTTCAACTGGTTTTAATGGAAGGGCTTCAAACTTGTTTTATCCTGGTAAAATGCATTAACTGAATTCCTCTTCCTTCAATTGGCTTTTTGTCTTTGAAATGTTAACAGATTATAATAAATTTTTAAGATTTCTGTGACTTCCATCCTAATTCTGTACAGCAAGTGTACGTATTGAAGTAGATTGCTAGCAGGTATAATTTATCATACTTCAATGAAAAGCAATGAAGCTGTGACAATTAATGAATGCTGAGGAGCTATGCTATTTTTATCTTCTATTATTTATGTAAAGTTTCTTTCTCAGTCAATCTACTCCCTCTATTCTGAGAAAAATTATGTTTTTTTCTTGGAAGCTGTTCTTTTACCTTCTTAAGCAGACTTGAATCTCTAGAAACCCATGTGTGGGTGCTCCTAAAATAATGTTTTTTATCACACAGCAGAAAGGAAAAGTAACAACAGGCTGAGAATAGAGCCTGCCCTGAGTACAGCCTTTTGTTCTTTCTCCCATTTCATCATACTCCACTCACATTAATGAGAACAATGGCTGTGATCTGGCAACTGCTGAAGCTTTTCAGGTCACTCAGAGCTGCTTTCATTAAATAGAATTGAAAGAAAATAGAAAATAAATCATTCTTGATGATTTTTTTAAGGATAAAATTTGGCAGAAGTGAGTGCAGGGAGAGTTTGGGAGGTCAAGGGTGGCCAAGGGTTTGGTGAAAAGATTAGGATTCCATTAGAAATCCCAACATGGAGAAAATGCCAGAAGGGGAGATGCACAATGGCCATAGAAACCAAACCCCCAAAAGCTGGGGTTGTTTAAAGGTACAGACAAGTATTTCCCATGTTCTGTTTGTCCTCCAGAATTGTTATGGCTCATACTGCTAGCTATACTGCCTCTCTACTGTGGCAGTTGTAATATACTGGCTTTTATTGGTACTACTAAAAAGTCAGCTGCCAGCAAAATCAAAATGCAAAAAAGACATGAACTACACTCCACTTGCTTTTTTATTACCTTTGATTTCTAAGGGGGAGGACAAGACAGGCAAAAACTCTCAAATCTAAAGCACTTTTATACCTTTTGACAGTACACCCGTAGTCTGTTCCACAGCTTTCCACTTTTGTGCTACTGCTTCAAAGCCCAGACTCATCAAAGAATATCACTGAGGTCACAATGTTGACTTCCTTTCAGCAGCTTTTAGTGAAGGATTCTGTAATGTTTTGCTTCTAAACTATAGACCTCAGTTTTATCTAAATAGTATAAAAAGGCCTTTTTCTTAGCTGAAAAGTTTAATGTAACAAGATCCTTCCATTGAAAGCTGCTGAAAACTAAGTGGTTAAATCAACACCATCATGCTCTTTGATGCAGAATCACCAGCAATAAATGGGCCAAGGAACAGATAATACAAAGTCACCATTGAGCTTCAAAGTAGAGTGTCAAAATGGAAAAGCTGCAATGCAGTACACAGGTTATGGTTTTAATCATTCCAAAAAGCTTCATAAAGAAACTAAGAAATCACTTATGTGGGTTAGAACTTGGAAGTCTGTGGGCAAACAGGCTGAGCCATCTGTGTTGATGCAGCTTCATTCACATACTGTGTAAAGACATTTTTCTTTTTTTGTTAAAAACCTATATAGCTATATTTAGCTCTGTTCCTGTTGTTACTTTCAACAAAGGAAGAGATGCCATTACTAAAGGCATTTCTGCACTTTTCATTTGTTCCTTTTGTGTTCATGTAGGTATAATGTTGCATTTTTCTTATGGCTTTTAGGAAAATGAAGAATGTAGATGCCTGCCTGGGTATGCTTATTAGAGTATATTAGTAGTGTGGCTTAGACTCCATTATTCACCCTTACTGAGGTGAACAGCTTGGGAAGGGGAAGGTTTGATGTCCCATTAAAGTGGATAGTGAGGAACAAGTAACTGGTCTCACTTTTTCATTGTGGAAGACAGTTTTTTGGAAACAGGGTTCACAGAACAGCAGCACTTTCATTATTGAGTGACAGCTGGATTTTAGCAGCAACAAAACCTATTTACAAGACAAGATACAGAAACGGTTAAGAGGCTGGAGCAAAGAGCTTTTTTTTTCATATGAATGCTCTGCCCATAAGGATGCAGAGCTCCTTTATGAACACGTATTGTCTCACATCTCACCTTTTGACACAATGCATTATGATTTTATTTATTTATTTATTTATTTAATTGTTCTGGCTCAGCTTCAGCAGGGGATGAGGACACTTACTTAAAATAGTCTATTGCACGGTGGTTAGAGCACTGGACATGAAAGAACTTGGCTTAAATTGCTTTAGGCAGAAGATGGGTTGAATCCTGCTTGTGAAGTTATTGTATAAAGTAGGCAGAAGTGTTCCATTTCCTGCTATGTTTTAAGTGAAGATCCAGGCAGCAGTGGCATTTCTTATGGCATGTGATCTTTCTGGTCTGTATTGTACATATGTATGTAGGTAAGTATGTGTCTATGTATCTCTATCTATCTATGTATCTATCTTGTTCACCAGTGCAAATAGTCATGTCATAGAGAGGGGGAAATATCATTCCTGGACTCCAGTGCTGGTCTGTCCACTGCTGTCAAAATCATCTGGTTCAGGACATGGCCAGAATCAAACCATTCTGACATGCGGGGAACTTGAAAGTGTAAAGGGCTCAAGGCAGCTGCGTGATTCGGCAGCATCTGCAAAGTTTTGTATTGATGATCAGTTCTTTGATGCCATTTGCTAATGATTCCTCTCCTGGTCTCCTCAGGGAGAGGAATACCTCCATTCCTCAGGCCCGACTGCTCTGGGGCATCTGTTCCTTGAGCTGTTCCACTTTATAGAATTCAATACATATCACCTAGGTAGAGATTTTTCTGGACCAACATGACTACATCCTATTTTGGATTAGCTATAGGTATTTCACTAAAAAAAAATCCAGAAGGAAATAAAGACCAGCAACACATATCCATTTCAGAAGAACATACTGGATTAGATTGTCAGGTGGTATAAAATGTTCCTACTTAGCTTTAAGAGAATTAATGCAGCTACAGAGAATTTTGAATAACGACAGCTTGTAACATTAAAAATAGGACAAGATTTCATTTAATTAAAAAAGACAAAGAATGCTAATGAACATATTTGGATTTATTTTTCAGCTATTAATTTCATATTTTTCAAAAAAATCACACTTTTCTGCAGTTTGATCATGGATTTACTCCAATATCAATGCTATTGATGTACCAGCAGTCTATTTAACTAAAAGTCCATAACACTATAAAAAAAGGAAAAATTGTTCTGGGCATTAACATAACTGCTCTAAACCCACACATTTGGTTTTGATGGTGCTGTAAATTTGAGAAATGAAAATACCCACATTTTAAAACTTGATTGTGCAAACAATGTCTACAGCACTTTATGGTATATAGATCAAGGTGAAATTTGCAAAGAACTGCAGATTCTCTGACACAGAGTAATGAGAAGGCTGCTGTTTTGCAGCTAGCAGTAGCCAGAATTTCACACAATCTTCATCGCTGACTGCTCCTCCAGGCAATACTTTTTCAAAACATATGGAAGTGCCACTTCAGCTTTATTTTATGGGGTAATGGTGATGTCCAGTGCCTAATCAAATTAGGTTAATTGGAAATATCCCAACGGACATGACCTAGGCTTTGGCTCCTATTTAAAGGTGATATCCTGACTTCGAATCAGGTTTCAACCGCTTGTTGAACTCAGCACTTGTATAATTGTTTCCTAGTTGCATTTTTTTTAAGTTGAAGTAGATATTTATAGTGGTCTACATACTCTTATATTCTTCCTTTTAGCTTTAGAAATTGCCCAGCCAACAAACTAGGATAAAACACTACAGAATAACCCAGAGACAAGTAGTCCTAAAAATATCTTTCTAGTCACACGTGCTAACTGTGACCATCTGCATATACTTGAACTGTATTTAAGTAGAAGACATGGCCTAGTAAACAAGGGAAAACAGCAGTAGGAAGTCTCCATACTGATATTTTACAACTGCTTTGTGATTGCCTGATGTTAACCCCAATGAGTATTCCCCTGAAGCTCCTAAGTACAAAAATAGGATGAGAAAAAAAAAAAAAGACCCAGCTTTAAATGTCGTGGATTAACAGGCAGAATTTGTACTCTTCAAGCGGTGGAGGGATATCAAAGGGAGGACCTTTAGGAAGTGTGGCAACCAGGATGACTTCAGGTAAAGGGCATTCAAAGACTGACATGTCAAATTTACCCCATTTTAATTCACAACTTTATATTCCTGTATATATACAAGTGGCAAGCTGGAAAAAATTACTCTGAAAACTAAGTAAAGCTGATGCAGAAGAGATTATCTATGATAACACAGCTAAGTGTTAGAATGAAAATATTGATGAAGCAGAGGGTACAGTGTATGACTAAACATTAAAACTTAACATCTTTAAAGGCCTGAACATTTTATGTCAAGTACATTTTATCTATTACAGACACACAGGTAATACATAATAATATATTCTCCAGAGTTTACAGACTAACAATCCAGGCGTGGGCTAGTAGTGGTTCTGTGTGACTGTCCCCAGATCTCATTGAGAAAAAACACTCAGTAGGTGCTCTCTTCTTGCCCATGAAGAGAAAAATCACTGCAGGCTGTGGTATCTTGCTTGATTTCTCAAATAACCAGAAACAAAACTTCTACTAAGTCTTCACACCTAGCTAAGGATGGGCTTTAATTCCTGATTTCTTGCACCTAATTCAGGAGATTTCAACTTCATTTGAATAAAGAAGACGAAAACACTGATACAGACTGTGGCAAAGTGCTAAACTGGTGATCTTAGCACACTGTCTACAAACATCATACAGATGTTGAAAATGTAGATACTTGGAACTGTAATATGAGACTTTACCAAAACTTGATTTAGTTAAGATTTTGC